TGGGAATAAATGCTTAACTGGTTAAAAGCTACTCATTAAGATTTTCAAAACTTTTTATGTATTTATTAAAAGTGAACTAACATTGTGTCAAAGCAGAGAGGGTTTTTTAGACTCTCCTTCAAGTTCAATTTTAAGTGAACAGTTTGGAAGGTCCTGGTGCACATGCATTTACGATATCTAATAATAGGCAATTTACGATATCTAATATGGCATGAAGAAAAATTTGGATGAGGTGATAAATGAATAAATACTAGATATATTGCATTGGAATTTGGAATATATGTATAATTTATAAGCATTGGATAGGAAGTCCTAGAAAGCTTTCCTAGTTTCCTTTAAAGCTCAGCTTTGCAAATTAAGACTGAAAAAATTATTTCAATTCCTGCTGCCTGCTGGATTGTCATTTTTCAAAAATATCAAACTTAACTGAAAAGTCTGGAAGCATTGTATATAATATAATCTCAAGCTGTACTAATGTACTTGAATCATAATCCAAATCTCAACACATAAACAGGCCCAATACCCCTATTGAGAAACAAAGTCTTTATATCTTTACCAATTACCATTGAAAGGATCAAAGGAAAAGTTATAACAAAGTATAATGAACAAGAGCTCATTCAACAATTTCAACTGCAGCCAACAAGCCAAGTGTTGTTGCTGCTGCAGTGACTTCTGGATGCTGGCATCAGATGAAGTTGTCAGTGTAGTGCTTAGTCACAGATGCACGCTTGCCATTAACTTAGGTAGTTAGAGATGCATTTATGTCCATAAGCCCCGCCCCCAAATATGGTATATGTGCTACAGTACTGGTTAACTAAATACTTAACTTAAACTTGATCATTATGAACAAAGGGCTGAGAAAATTTTCTAAAAATCCAATAAATAAAATAAAAATAAAAAATATCTATCAAACAAGACATCCAAATTATTCTATAACAAACCTAATGTAGTACTATACAATTGAAATAGTTTGTTCACTTATGATCCAACCTTTACATTTATAGTCAGTAACATGGCAGAGCACTGTATCAAAAGAAAGCTTTTCACCTTGGGTGGAAAGCTTTTTTATAAGTGAACTTCCAATCTTAGAATTCCAGCCTGGTACTTATCTATACAAATAAATAATACATTTATTTCTATCCAGTGTCAATGAGTGATTTTAGATGCCATCATCATTGCACAACATCATATAACAAAGAAGTGGGAAAAATAACAAAATAACAAAAAGAAAAAATAACAAGAAAGTGAAAGCAATAAAAAAATGAGGCATGAACCTGTCCAAAATAAAAATATTGTAATAAAATAATAAAGATAACAATATTGCAGGCAAAATTCTAAAAATAATTTATGTGACCTAAGTAATAAGTAAATAATCAATTATGTTGAGTTCATCAGCTGCAGTGGCGTGCCACTAACCTGCGTCGTGTGTGTACGAGGATGGAGCCGCCGGCAAACTTCTTGATGGCTCGCTCAGGAT